CCCCCCCCCCCCTTGCCCGTCTGTCTTACGTGCCGACTTTCCTCTCCTACCCGGTCACCAGTTCTTCCTCGTCGCATCTCGTCTTTTTCCCCTTCTTCATCGACGATTCTTGTTTACCGCCCTCCCTCCTGTCCTTTCTCCCCGTTCATCGCTCTTCCTTCTTCTTCTTCTTCGATTCTTCTCCTTCTTGTGTTTTCCTTTGTTTTCTTATTCTCGATTTGAGCTTGGCAATGAATCTGGTCGCCCTCGTGTGTGTCTCAATGAATGCACCTCGTGTTTCTCAATGAGTGCAATCCAAATCTGAAATAAAGGATAGGCCGTCGGTCTACTCTCATCAGCACATCCTCCTTGTGTCATGACAAGGGCACGCTCGCTAGGACTTTCTGCTATGAATCTGGTCGTCATTGCCGCAAGGTACGTCCTCGACGGTCCCCTGCCACTGGGCGTGGTGCCTCCTAGCGTTTCTTGTATATATGCCATCCACGAGTCAACTAACGATCCGTTTGGATGCTCATCACCAAACCTTCACCAAACCTTCACCAAACCTTCGCCAAACCTTCACCAAACCTTCACCAAACTTTCGTTCACTAAACTTTCAACTAGCGTTCACCAAACGGTCACCAAACGGTCACCAAACGGCCACCAAACGGTCACCAAACGGCCACCAAACGGTCATCGTTGACGATCACCTCTGACGATTACAGCTAACAGTCGTCTCGATGGTCAGTCACCTGGTTTGCTGACCATTTGGTGAACGTCTGGTGAATGTTCGGTGAACGTTTGGTGAATGTTCTGGTGAATGTTCTGGTGAATGTACTGGTGAATGTTTGCTGAACGTTGGAGAATGTTTGGTGAACGTTTGGTGCTGATCTGCAGTAGCTGATGTTGAAAGTGAAAAAAGGTGACAGAAGTTGGGGAGGGGTTTGAAGCAAACTCTCTCGCCAAGAAGCGGCATTTGCGCGCCGCTGTTTTTGCTTATTTACGTCCGAAATGTACTATCATCGTTGGCCTTGCTGATTCTGAATAAAACCGTAGAACTGACTGATGATCATTCTGTCTTTTTCTCTTCGGTTCTGTAAAAAGAACTGACGGCGTTTTTTTTCCTTTGTTTCCTCTCTCTTTTTCTCGTTTTTCTACAAACACACTTACCGTCTTCCCCCGAACTTAACGCACCGTGATTCTGAATGTATATAAGCCATGTTTCCGGTCGGATGCAGCCATAATGAGGGTGCCTTGTGTTCGGCGGAAGACGGTAGTACTCTTGGAAGGAATGAGGTGGCCGCTGCTGCTGGTCACTCTATTGACGAAGGAAGTTTCATGGAACGTGCGGTTTTCGACAGAAATTGGTTGGTACGGGAAAGAAAAGATAAAAGGAGAAATCGAACCGCTGATCAATCTAAAAGAACCGAGGGAAGTTTCACGGAACGTGCAAACACGCTAGTCAATCTAAAAGAACCGAGGGAAGTTTCACGGAACGTGCAAATTTTGGCCCAAATTGGTAATCATTGAACGATACAAAGAAGACTAATTACGTAATTGGAATGAATGGTCCCCGCACTTTTTCATCTTCTTCCGTTTTGGCGTGAGCCGGTTGACGTCATCTTTAAATGCTCATGTATTGCCTGCGCCTTTAAGGACGACGACACGCAGATATCGAGAAACGGTATTAATTTACTATTAAGCAAAAAAAAAGGGGCTTCAGAAAAGAATAATATTAAAATGAACAATCCAAGAAGAAAAAGAGAGAGAAGCAAAAAAAAAAAAAAAAAAGAGAGAGAGAGAAAAGGTACCAACGGGCCTAGCTCAGATGATACACCCCCCCTGAACTGTTGAAATACAGACTCATGTTCCAATCCAGATACCATTTGATGAAGAGAATAAAGTTATTATTTATGAATTGCCTGGGGCAGGTCAGTTCAGAGATGATATCCAAGGGCCGTCATCCATTCAAAAAAAAAAAAAAAAAAAAAAAAGGATGTAAGGAAAAGCAAAAAGAAGAGCTGGAGAAAGGAGGACCGGGGGTACCAAAAAAAAAAAAAAAAAAAGCATAGAGAATTACAATTTTTTGAAGTTTTTGTGCATCGCCGCCGCCACATCTACCAACGACCACAATGCGCATCGCCCCCCCCTACCCCGGGCCCCCGGTCAGATTCCAGAAAAAAAAAAGAGGGGGGAAAACTTCAGAAAAAGGTGTAGACTCCGAATCTCTGAAATTCTTCTGCTCTGTGAGGTGTTTTTAACTTTTCTTTCTTAAACGATTTTTTATTTATTTGTTTCAATTTCACCTTTCATTTTCTATTTCGACCGTTGCGGTCCATTGAAGTCCAAAAACAAAGGCGGGAAAAAAGGCGCCTTCATTGGAATCTTTTTCGAGCTCCTGCTCCTCCAATACTCGAGTTGGCCCCTGCGGATCCGCTATGTCCATTCCTCTCTTCCTCTCATCCGTCACTCTCTCTCTCTCTCTCTCTCTCTCTCTCTCTCTCTCTCTCTCTCTCTCTCTCTCTCTCTCTCTCTCTCTCTCTCTCTCTCTCTCTCT